CGATGGGGGTCCCCGCTCGAACGGGAGCGTTCCCCAGGGTCCGACAACCCGCACCCATACCCATAGCCAGTGCTCCTCTCAACGACCCCCTATGGGTATGGGTGTGTGTTGCTCGTTCGTCACTAGACCCCCGCTGCGCACCCTGCTGGTGCCCCGTCTCGGCGGCGAGCCCAGGGGGGGAACTGAGGGCGGGCCTTCTCAGAAGGCGGCGGGGCCCCTCAGAAGCTCTCCGGCCTTCTGAGACGCCGCCCCGGCCTTCGGGGAAGGCTTGCTCAGAAAGCTCCTCCGAAAGCCGGCCTTTTTGTGAAAGTGCGAAGCCCCCTCCCTTCTCTCTCCCCCCTTCCTGGGCCGTCCGCCGACTATCGCCCCGCGGCCCCGCGAGGTCCGCGCTCCTCGCGCAGCTGGCGGCCCTCCTCGGCGCCGAAGGAGGCGCCCTCGGAGCGGACCAGGCGTTCCGCGAAGCCCTCGAAGCGCTCCTGGGGGCCCATGCTGCTCCCGTTCCCGCTGGCCCCCCTCCCTCCTCCCCAGCCCTCCAACGGGCTGAAAAAGACAGGACGAAGGCTTCGTCGTCTTGACTCACCCGGGGGCTCTCGCCGGAGGCCCGTCCAAAAACGATCCGGGACACGGAAAAACAATTGCCAGCAAGTGGTCCAGAACCCCTGGGACACTTTACTATTTTGTAGATAAGCAACAAACAAGCATCCTCCTTCTCATCACCTCCTGCTGTTCCCATGCTGCCCCCTCCTGCTCGCACGCACGCACACTAGAGGCACTTGAGGTTCGCTGCCTGTCCTGGATATGCTGGATGAAAAAATGGCCGATTGGTGAGGGAAAAAGGGCAACGGGGAAGCTGGTGAGGTGGCGCCGATCAAAGACCGCACAGTCGGCGCGGGGCTCCACGTCCAGGAGCGGGTCGAGAGGGACAAACCTCCTCCGACACGCTCCTCGTCCTCCTTCAGTCCTCCTCCTCCTCCTCCTCCTCCTCCTCCTCCTCCTCCTCCTCCCCCTCCTCCTCCTCCTCCCCCTCCTCCTCCCTCCTCCTCCTCCTCCTCCTCCTCCTCCTCCTCCTCCTCCTCCTTCGGCCCAGCATGCTCGCCAACCGGGGCCGCGCTCCCCTCTCGGGCATTGCCCGAGGTGTCCCGGGCCCCGGGTGTGCCCAGGACTCCCAGGGAAGCCAGGATGGCCTCAAGAGCATCCCCCCACGAGGCCCGCAGGGACCCAGGGGCCAAACGAATGGCGCCAAAAGCTGGGGACACCTGGGGCCGCCACTGCTTTTGGCAACGCTGGACAGTCGCGCCCCCCCCCCCGTCATCCTGCCGGCTCTTTCGCCCCCTTGGAGGGCCGAGACCCAGCGGCCAGAGCTCGCCGAGAGCCTCAAGACACAGTGGACGGCAGACCAAACATCCTCGTCGACCTGGGCCACGACTCGCGCCCCATACGCGAGCAGACTCCCCCCTCGCCGCCACTCAGGGGTGCACAGCGGTGGACGGCTCTCCTTCGACCTGGCATCCTCGCCAACCTGGGCCGCGCTCTCCCCTCGATCCCCTCGCGCGAGCAGACGCCTCCCTCGCGGTTTTCTCCCCTCGCGCGTCCCTCCGCGCCCAGGTCGGCGGGCCAAGCCCGCAAAACCAGGCGCAGGGCGGCGACCCCGCCGAGCGCGGCACCCGCGGCGCACCGCGGGCCGACCGGCGGCGGCGGCTGGGCAAGCAGGGCCAGCTCGGGCCCAGCGCAGTCCGCCCCGGCGGGCGGCGTCGAGCTGCCGCGCGGTGACGTCGGCTTGGGCGCTGCTTCGTCGGAGGCGACATGAACGAAGGGCGAAGCAGCGCGCACCTCGCGTGCCCCCCTTTGGGACCCCACAGGGCCCTTCCAGGGCCCCTGAAGCGCACTGAAGGTGCACCTTTCTTCACCCCTCCATTTATCGCCCCCCCATGACGCAACGCCCGATCGGCGCCAGACTGGCTCCTCCCGGTTCTCAGACACACCGGCGGCGCGCGAGCCCCGATCGGCCTGTCGGTGGGCCGCGCTGTGGCCTCAGCGCCAATCCGGCAGAACACAACTAGATACGAGTCACAGGAGCAGCACCATGAGAGGAGAAGGAAGAGGAGGAGGAGGAGAAGGAGGAGGAGGAGGAGGAGAAGGAGGGGGATAACACACTGCCGTGGCGGTCACCGCGCAGGTCAAGCTAGCGTTGGGTGAGCACATCAGACTGGGGCCAAGGATGCCCCTCATGCCAGCAGAGAACGTCCCCGCCCCAACCCAGGGGATCACGGAGCGGGCACGCAGGCACAGCCCAAAAGCGGGCGTGGCGAGAAAGCGCCAGGAACGCAGGTCAAGGCTGGGCCTCCATAGGCCGTAACCGTAACCAAAGCGTTTCAGGGTCAGAGGCCTGCAGGGGCCCGGGGGTTCGGAGGGTCCGACTTCCAGGCCTCCCCTCGTCAGCAGGGTGCCGACCTATCAAACATACAATCCTGTTACGCGCCGCCCTATCTGACATCTGATGGAATTCAAGCGGGCGGCGATCGACAAGGAGGTGGCTCGCCACCCCAGTGGTGTAGAAGCCACATCTAATACATAAGACCACATCCCCTGGCGCAACCCAGCACCTGTGCCCTCGCGTCGCTTCGGGCGGCACGATGCCGCAAGGCAGCATGGGGGCGGCAGGTACCGTGATCGCGCTCAGGGAGGGCCTAGGGTTTCGCCTGTCTTGCCTTGGGCGTTTCGCCGCAGGCAGGGAGCGTCCATCCTCGACTTCCTGGACAGCACGACCCTGCTGCTCCTGGGCGGGCGACGCACCAGGGTCACGGGGCCAAAGGTGACACGCCTCCGCACATTCCAATCATCGTCAGACGAGCTAGACGAGCGAGGACGACACGTCGACCGACGCAAGTCCGACACATCGACGTCGACAAACGAGCGAGGGGCACCAGCAGGGAGGCTACTCGTGCACCTCTCAGGGATGACAACCTCCTCGCGCGGGGGGGGGAGAGCCGCCATCGCCATCACCAGCTGGGCTGCTGAGCACCTTGACTACAGCTTCCCGTTCGCCAGGCGACGGTGGGGCCGCATAGGATGGCCCAGCAGCCTGCTGCTGCATGGCGTCAGAGGGGGCCGAGACGCGACCTTGCCCCTGCGAGCGCGGAAGCTGCGACGCCACGAGTCCGAGCGCACCCTCCGAAGCCCGCAGGCGCGCAGGGCAGGAGAGGGAGGAGAGACGACGGATTCCATCGATGGTGTTGGCCCCACTCTTACAGAAAGACAGAAAGCGCACCTGTATATACTTCGCCCTGGAACCCACAGGAAAACGTGCCGCATGTGGTCTGGCACTTCCACACTGGGTTCCAGTCCAGGGGCAGGGCGGCGGCGGCGTGTCCGCTTCACACGAGGGCAAGTGGGGACCCCACCCGTTTCCCCGCAAAGGGGCAACGCCCTCACCATCCAGCGAAGGCTGGACACATAATGCCCGTGAGCAGCAGCCATGGCCTGCCGAGCAGGACGCGAAGCACAATGAAGATCGCGCCCCGAGGTGGCCGCAAGGTCGGCCCAGCGATTGCCTCTAGCTACCTCGCTCGCGCCGCGCTGGTGACCCCGGCAAAGTTCAAACGACACGCCGGTGCGGAGGCCCACGAGGTCTTCGATCTTGCCCCAGATGGCCTCCCAAAGGTCAAGATTATTCCGAAAGGGGAGCTAAACACCAACTAAGGCCTTTGTCATGCCCATCGGGGAGCCCCTTAAAGCCGGTTATTATAATGACTGGAGGGACACAAGCCAGAAGGGCTTGGAGGGCGGCGTGCATTTCAGCTCTCGGTGGGGACTGAACGACACCAGGTAGCGCCCCATAGAGTGCACATTTGATGCCTCCATCCCTTCGTTCTGGTAACTGAGCGAAACCCCGCCCAGCTCTTGCAGACTCTGGCCAATACCAAATACGGCGGCACGTTCCATCAGTGTAGATCCTTCCCGAGATCCCCTCTGCACTTCCGTAAAAGGACATTACACCTCACCGAGTTGTCTCCAGCAGGCAGCTGAGGAAAACGCGACCGCCCGATAAGTCCGCGATCCCAAAACCAAGACCCAGTTTCAAATGCAGGGAACCCTCTGCGGTCTATCCGAGACGCACGCTCGCGACGAGCAGCACCAAGAGCAGGACACTCCCACAAGATACGACGCATATTGCAGGAACTGTTTGCACACAGTCGGCACTGGGCATCGTCCGCGCGCCAAGCTGGTGGAGACGCGCAGGCGTCCACATGCCAGCAGTGACGAACGCTCGTAGCAGTCCTGCCTCCCGATGTTCAGGAGACCAGTTCCTAGCGCGCTGCGTGCCCTGGGAGCCCCGCGGCGGGCCCGGTTCGTTAGGTCGGTCGGGATCGATGTCTTCAGCAGTTCCATCGGGGGGGGACTCTCGCCCCAAGATCTCGGCAATCGGTTCCAGAAAATATCCCCCGGGCTCTTTGAGTTTCAGTGGCTCGCGCGAGCCAGCCAGCCGACTGGCCCACAGGGCCCAAAGCCTTCTCATGGCCGATTCCTGAGCAACCACTAATATCGTCGATGGGGCTTCCTTCCGAAAATCCAAGACATCACCCAAGTCAGTGCGCACCAGATGCCCAGAGGAGATAAACCATCCCTGGACCCGAATAGCCAGCAAGGCAGCGCCCGCAGGTCCAGCGGCCCTGGTCCATGGTTTGGGAAGAACGTATATAACCTGGATATGTTTGCCCACGCCCGCTGCTGAACATCGCCAGGCACTGCGCGGTCTCGATAAAGGAGAGATCACTGGTAGATGGGAGGGCACCACGCCTTGGCTTGAGGGCCAGAGTGCTGGTGCCCCTGCAGGCAGGAGGTGACCCAAGCCGAGATGGCGGCCCCTGGGGTACGCCAGGAGCTTCGAAGAATACGTCTCATTCTAGCCACTGGCCGTGGGGGGGCTCCGTGCACTCCCACCACGTAGGCCATGGCTGGCGGCATGGCCCAGCGCACAAAACACGCAGCCAAATTGCCAGCGCGACGCGCCGATCGGAACCTTGGCACCCGACGACCGACAGCGCACACTCTCGACCGCAGCTCGGTGCACCGAAGGGGGCGCCCGAGACTTCGAGGGCGCTGCAATAGGTGCACCCTAAGGACCGGACCATTATGCACGCCCGACGCCCAAGTTGAGGGCTGCTAGAAGTGACCTTCATCTTGTTCCGAGCCGCAGGCAACCCCAGGCTATCCAGAACGCCCACAAGCATCCTCAACATCTCGTGGGAAACATCAAGGAGCTTCTGCGCAGGGCCCGAGACATCCAGGGTAATATCGTCTGCGCACAGCTCGATTGCGCGTGCCATGCTGGCCGCGTGCTTATATAGCGCGTCAAAGGGCGCGAGCATGATACACTGCAAAGCGAACATGGCGAAACCGCTTCCTGGCAGCACTCCACGCCGAGCCCAAGTAACATCGGAAAAACTGATGTCCCAGACCAGCCGACGGGCCCCAGAGCACATTCGCACAGCAGTTCTAGGGGGCGGCAACCTAGGACCGCGCTCGCGTAGGTGGCGCATTTCATCCACAATGCCGTCCGAAATAGTTTCGTCATGAATATTCCCAAAAACGTCGCCAGGTGGTTCGTCACACGCATTCCAAACTTGGGCCAAGGATTGCCGCTAGGCCTGAACGACGTCGCCTGGAAAGCTGGTGGGCCCCAAAGCCCCTTCGACCTGGGATAAGAACCACCCGCGCGGCTTAGCCCATCGATGAACTGGCCCAGGTTGCGCATCCAACTTTGCACGGAGCCTGGCAATAAAAGATGTGGATCTAGCCCGTGCATGTCGACGCTCTTCTTTAGCGGCCAGACGCCCAAGATAGCCCCCCACGAACTGAAAGTGGTGCCCCTGGGTGCCCACGGGAGAGATCACCACCTGCTGGATCAGGTAGAAGACGGTCTCACAAATTGCAGGGGGCATGTGTTTTCGCATCCTGCCACGTCGGCGGCCCCCCGACAGAAAATCACAGAGGAAGCCCAAAGCCCGAGACTCGTCAAGGGACCCATTTCGAGCAATGCGGATATCATGAACACGAAGCTGCAAGATCCTTATCGCCCTGGAAGCCTGGACCCCCGAGGGCTGGTATCTGGCTAACGCCCCCCCAGAGGTAGTAGACTTGCGATAGCGAGGCCCACGCGAGCGTCCTACCACACGGTCATGCCCTCCTTCGGGGGCCTGAAGAAGTGGGACAAGCCCGGCTTCAGCTCCATCATACACAGCTCGGCTGAGCTGGTCGAGTGGATCTCTATGGCCACCGTGTTGACCCAGACGGTGCACCGAATCCGCCGCCATGAGATCGGTCCAAGGCATGTCAGGCTGACCTCTGGACATAGCAAAACTCTATTCACCGTCATCGATCGCCCTCCTCGGTAGTCTGGAGCTTGGCCTTCACCTGCATAGGAAAAGGGCCCAGGGCCCGATGGCACCGCGACCGCATTTGACCGCACCCCTCCAAGAATGGAGGTCATCACCGCGAAGTGGTTCCTGCCTGGGAGGAAAATCCGCAGGCGTGACTGGTGCGGCGCTGGAAAACGCGATGCTGTCACTGGCCATCCAGTAGTCAAGGAGGCCGCGCTTTCCTGATTTCGGGCCACGATAAGTACCTTCCACGGGAACAATGAGCCCTGCCTGCAACCGATCGCAAAGTCCTGAATCACTTAGGCGCCGAGGAGAGACGTTCCGATCCCCTTCCAAAGCAACACGGCAGCTTGCAGCATGACAGCGCGGCCCCAATTGCCCTCAGTGCATCTGCGCTGGGCCCCCCCAATTGGTGCCCTTGTTCCAGGTGGGCGGGCCCGACCAGGAAACCACGACGAGGCCCCGCATGTATATGCACAAAGACAGCAAATGCAGGGACAATCACACGATCCGCAGAATGACCTGGCACCGATACGCCAATGTGACTAGGCACGAAGATTCCCACTCCTCCATTGCCAAGACAATCGCGATGGCCGTCGAGTACTGCAGGGGTCATGAAAGGCTTCCAACCATCCGCACTTGCCCACTCAAGGGCCCGCAAGTACCGATCTCCAAGCAGTCTGTGCTCTCGAATGAAAACAATGGCATTACGTGGCCCCCCTGTAGGAGAGCCTTCGCCTGCAGCGAGCCACGAGAACTGAAAATGACGACGCGGACATCCGTCTTCTGTGACACCGTCTTGGGAGCCCGCCTCCATGAGGGCCGCTGAGAAACTGCAAGGGCCTCCGCGGGCGCTGACTGGACCATCCGAGCACGCTTCCGAGGCCGCGAAGACGGCGGGGCAGTCAGACGAGAATGCATAGGCAAAGCCGCACTAGATGGGCGCGCAGGCGAAGTAGCACACGGCGCCGTCGCTTGCGCGGCACGACCCCCGCCCGCATCACGCGCAAGCCGAGGAGGGCAGGCGCTGCCAGCAGCAGCTCCATACGGGTGCCCCGCTGGGGCAGCAGACTGAGCAGGAAGCCAACGATCTTCACCACCACGCTGGACCACACGAAGCGGGCCTGACGAGCTAGTGGCATGAAGCTGGAAATCCGCCTGCTGAGTGGGCAGGTTGCACGCGCACAATATTCCATTGCACCATCGACGTCGAGAGGGCACGAGGTCGATCTCACTGCTACTCGATCTCAGTTCAGGGCGGCCCAGGCCCCGAGCAAATAGCAGCTGCTTCCGTGGCCTTCGCGCCCTGAAGAACTGTCGCCGCACCGTCATTGACCTGAATAAGAGTGACGTGATCACACATGCCTGCACCCACATCATCACCAGCAGGATCGGACGCTGGCAGTTGGTGACCAGGGCGGGCATCACTTTTTCCAGGCGTGACGCCTTGGGCGTCGCCAGTGTGGTCACAAAGTGCCGCCATCATGTTCGTCGCAGCGTCGAAAGCGCGCGTCGCCTCACCGATCGCGAAGTCAGCAAAAGGTTGGCCAGACATCTCGCCGGCAAGATGCAAACGGGTGTCCCGAAGCGCGCGAAAACGCTGCACCATCATGCCGTACCACCGTTGGCGGTCATCCAGGTAGATAGTCCGAAAATGTTTCAAATGTCGGCGGAGATGAGAGGCATGTTGAAACCACGCGTAGTGATAGATGCGTTCCGCCAACTCCTTTCGCAGGGCACCAGTAGGAGCTATGCTGTTGAGACCATCGTGCTCTCGTATGCAGAATTCGACGTAGGGAACGTACTAGAAACCCCAGCCCTCCTGACCCATGATGTCATCCCAGGTGATGGCGTCTGCGTACCAGTGGCCAACGAAGGTTTCCATGTGGTCAGTGAGTTCCTCCTCTTCTGGTCTGTTCGGCAGCACGTCAGGTGCGCAAGCGGGCTGGACCACACAGGAAGCTGAGGTACCATCACCATCGAAACGAACACTAGTATGTCGATAACTGCAGGGCCCAGCGAGCGCAGCCTCTGATTCGCCCTCAGAGTGCCGCGCGACCAAAACCGTTGGGATAATATCTTCTGAACATTGCCGTGTTGCTGAGCCGCCATCAACCGACACTGGCGTAGTTAATCCGTGGGAAACAAACATGCCAAAAGCACCACCTGAGTCACCATCAGGCCCGTGTGTACTCAAAACTGCAGCATGGTCTGAACCAATGTGTATGGAAGAGGCGCCTTCCTCAGCTGCTCGGCATACACCAAGCCTGCGGAGATCAGGCACGAAGAAAGGCATTTCGCCACAACTACTCTGGGATGATTGCAGCTGGGGCAGCACCTGTTGCTGTCGCTGTCGCTGCAGAAGCTGAACCAGGTGTTGCAGTTGAACTGGCTGTGGCGGGGCCGCCCATGGACATGGCCAGAAGGAGGACGAGCAGGAGGAGAAGGAGGAGGAGGAGGAGGAGGAGGAGTTGGAGGAGGAGGTGAGACGCCGCAGGCGGAAGCAACGGGAGTACCAAGCGCGTAAATATGAAAAACTCCAGGCTGCGATAGCGCGGGGCAGAAAACGGACAGCATCGCGACTGAGGCGCATGAAAGACGAATCACATCACACTGTGAGGCTCAAAAATGAAGCGCCCGACTGTGAAGCAGACTGCGAGGACGAGGCTCATCATCCTCCTGCAGGATTCCACACCCAAAAGATTAGGGCGTGAGGTGGGTGGGCCGACCCCCTGCGTTCGACACTCCTCCGATAAGTGAGACAAGAAGTTGAACGCAGATGGTCGGTCCGACCCTGCTCAGCGCAAGCCTGGATCTGCAATTTTGTAGATAATGAAAAAAAACAAACAAACAAAAAACAAATCAAACAAAAAAATACAACTTCTGTTGGCGAACTCGCCAAACCCGGCTCAGCCAAAATGAGATGTAAGGCCACCTCGAGCAGCTCCCAAACCCGGCCCAGCCAAAATCCAGCCTCGCATGATCCTGCAGGAGCCAGCGCTCTGGCTGAGCTCCATCTTCGCTAGACACCATGACCTGCCAGTTAAACTCTCACATCCTCCCTGTCCTGAGGGGAAACAGTAGGGGGGTACAGGCTCAGGGGGGAAGCATCGAGCCGAAATCGGCGATACGTCGCCGATGGATCGGCAATAGGCCCCCGATAGCGACTCCACACGGTCCTGGGCGGGGTGGGCTACCGAGCCCTTGTCGGCGATCAGTGGGCGATTTGGGGTCGATGCGTCCCCACCTGAGCCTATCTGAGCCGATCCCGCCCCCTGACGGTGCCCCCTGGTTTTCGGGTCATAACTCGGCTCTACAGCGGCCGCTCGGAACGATCCGGTCACCCCCGGAACGCCATCGGCGCGGCGCAGCCGCCGCTGTACATCAGCCCGAGGCCGGGGAGCCACCGAAAGCCAATGAGAACCGCCGAAAACCTCGAGCCTTGTTTTTGGTAATGCGCGGCCTCTGGAAGTCCAGATCCCCAAGGCCCCCTTCCTCCGGGAGGTGGCGGGCGATCGGAAGCAGACCCGGGCGCGCAGGGGCCCCCGCCCCGAGGTGCCGCCCCAGGGGGGGCCGCGCTCCTCCCAGCCCTCCGCGTTCTGGACACTGCTAGTGAGCAC